CCCAGCTTTGGGCCAGTCATTCTCTCTCAGTCCAACTCACCTCACAGGTTTGTTGTTGTGGGGAAAATAAGAGGAGGTAGGTATATTAACCTTGAGTTAATTAATTAATTAAAAAGTAATAAAGGCGGGATAAAAAAGAATTAAATCTAATCTAATAAACTGGCCATAGCGGTCCCAGTGATTATCAGCACACTAAGTGCCATATCAAAAAATCCTAGAGTGCAGTTAGAAAATCTATGAATTGCACTTCGAGAAGAACTTGATGGGTATGAAGGATAACACCAGCTAAAGAACTGGCAGCTGTGATTTTACTTTGTATGTATGTAACAACAATAAAACAGATCATTTTTTGAATCTATATATATAAAAGCGAAAACCACTCATGCATTAATCACGAAATCTCCAGAACCGTAAAGCCTACAAACTTCAAATTTGCCACATATGTTCCTATTGGCTTCTAGGTGCTCACTAAGAAAGGATTTTTCAAAATGACCATCAGAGCATTAGTATTTCCTATATTATTATTAACACGCTCTGATGCTAAGGAGTTGTGCACCCCCTCCCCACCTCAAAAGAAATCTGTTCCAAATGCAAAACACAAGCAGAGGAGTTTCACTTTCAGTTTTACTTTCACAGCAGGAAGCAGCTTTACTACAGAACAGTTGAGTTAAGCCACGCCCAGCCTCCTTCCTGTCTCCTTCCTCACACAGCAAATACTGTTTGAGTTTCCAAACACCCCTCAACTCTTTCACATACTGACAGGATGCTAGCCAGATGAATACCAATGGATGCTGTGGCCTGGGACATTCTATTCCCCCTCCCACTCTGTTCCAACTGCCAGTTGCATTATATTAACACACTCTGATGCTACAGAGTTACACATTCTACATTAAGTTTCAGGCTGCAAGTGTCAATTTGTCAAGCCCGAGCACATAGTTTCGTAGCGAAGTACGGGCAGCCAGCTAGTCTTTATTAAGAATAATAAAAACCGATTTGTGTGTAATCTTGCAATGGCCAGCTGCCATTCTGCAACTCATTACAATAATAATTTTTAGACACTTTTCAAGCCCCACATGAAATGCATGGTAATAGTTAACTTGGATTAAAGGGAATGAGTAGAAAGCTATTGATAAACCTAACCAGTTCTGGAAAGATCACAGCTGGAGTGCAAGCCATAATTGTCCAATGTGCTCCCAGGCACTCTTTCTCTTTTTCTTTCTTAGACATATCCATGCACACAGAGAGCCTTTGTCAATTGTTCATTCATTCTGCCTTTGGCCTCATCAATTAAAGCATATGCATCTTCAATTGCTTTGTTCACATTGCAATCCCATCTATTCCATTCTTTACTCCAGTTTCTTTCTCTCTTCCTTTCTTTCCTTCAGCTGCTGCATCTTCAGTCTTGCACAAAAGAAGCAGTTTTAAAATAAAAGAAACAAAACAGAAACAAAAACAATCTGTTAGCATTAGATACAACTGATTGCCCAAAAAACACTTTTGCAACATGGGGGGAAGGTTAGCCTTTCTCTCCTCTGTACAATTCACCCTTCCAGTTGCCTCAGAATTTTGAAAGGACAAGGGATGTGGTGGCTCAGTGGCTAAGATGCTGAGCTTGTCTATCGAAAGGTCAGCAGTTCAGCGGTTCGAATCCCTAGTGCCATGTAATGGGGTGAGCTCCTATTACTTGTCCCAGCTTCTGCTAACCTAGCAGTTCGAAAGCACGTAAAAAAATGCAAGTAGAAAAATAGGGACCACCTTTGGTGGGAAGGTAATAGCGTTCCATGCGCCTTTGGCATTTAGTCATGCCGGCCGGCCACATGACCACGGAGATGTCTTCGGACAGCACTGGCTCTTCGGCTTTGAAACGGAGATGAGCAGCACCCCCTAGAGTTGGGAATGACTAGCACATATGTGCGAGGGGAACCTTTACCTTTGAAAGGACAAAATTCTAATTACATAACTAGAACCTCCTCCCCCTTTTAAAACTTAACTGCTTGGAATGGGGTAGATGGAGAAGGAGAAGCTTTGGGCTAGAGTCAAAAGTGCCAGAGATCATATTTAATCTATGGTCTAGTAATTTGCCACCTGGATGGACAAATGTGTTAACTCGGGATAAATTAATTGCTTATATTTGTAAAGTTTGTCCTTCTACTTGCCCAAACCCATAATTGCCTGCTAAACTTTACTGCTTAGTCGAAGGCTTAGCATGGTAAAATATCAGGGCATCCTGACTAGATCTTGCTGAGCCATTCAATATCTTTTGAATCATAAATGCAGCTTTGTATTAAAACAAAAATTACATGGAGTTGATCTTGAAGTCAAGAATGCTTTCCTGGAATTAGGCATACTGAGAAGGACCAAACAGTGTACTTTATTAAATGAGTACCAGCCTCCTCTGGTATTAAAAAAAAAATACATAAAGTTGATCTTGAAGTCAAGAATGCTTTCCTGGAATTAGGCATACTGAGAAGGACCAAACACAATGTTCTTTTTAAATGAATACCAGCCTCCTCTGGTATTAAAAAAAAAAAAAAATACATGAAGTTGATTTTGAAGTCACGAATGTTTTCACAGAATTAAGCACAATGTGAAGGATCCAACACAATGTTCCCTATTAAATGAGTACCAACCTCCTCTGGTATTTTGTTCATGCTTTTTTTCAAGTAGAAATCTGTGCTCTTGGTTACGCAATATAAGTCTTCCGAACTCCTGTTGTAAGTTGAAGTTAAATAATATGCCTGTCAGAAGTTATTTATAGATTAATTTTGATAAAAGATTTGTGCCATGGAAGCAATGTGATTCACTTTCCTGATGTGAAGGGTTTATCAATGAAGCAATTTGGATGACCCCAGAGCATTCTCCTCGGTATTATCAAAGTGCTTCAAGGCAGGATAATTTTGAGATTGCCAGCTGCAGGCATTCCAATCTTTTGTGCCTGAAGATCTTGGCTAATGATCTAGAGAAATGTGGTTTGGTGAAAGGAAGTGGCATAGTCTTTGTAGCACCTGCTAAAACCTTTAGTGACTTTGGAGGACATGCTGTTGCTCATCTCCTCTACATTGTCTGCCTGATACTAGGTGAGTGGTCAGGAAACGTTGAACTGAACCTTCTCTTGAGAACTTGGCAAAATTTAGGGTGAACAGTCCAAAGAAGTCTGCGGGTAAGTGCAGGGTGTGCACGAAGGCTTGGGGTGGGTGAAAAAAGGGCCTACTGGAAGTTTGGGAAGGCCAGAAACTGGCCTCCAGAGGGCCTCCAGTGCCTGTGGAGGTCATTTTTGCCCTCCCTGAGACCCGAGGAAAGCCTCTGGAGCCCAGAGAAGGCAAAAACACCCCCCCCGGTGGTACAGGAGGCTGACTAGGCCATGCCCACCATGGTCACACCCACCCAGCAACCGGGCAGAGAACCCCTTGCTAAAATTTTTGAAGCCCACCCCTGAGACTGGGCATTTGTGATGCACCCTGAAGCCCGATAAACTTTGGGGCAGCCTTGAAGGAGAAGCCTTCTCTCAGTCCCCTTGCACTCATTAAAGAAGAAACATCTCAGCCTGGACTCTGCAGAAGAATGATGAGAAGGGCTGTGAAGCAGATGAAGGGAAAAACGTATCAGCTATTTTGTTTTGCTCTTACAAATGAAGGAATCGTGTTGCTTTTTATGGGTTTTTTTTTTTCAAACTTTACTGAAGTAAAACAATCTTTGAAGCTTCACCCAGATTCACTGAATACATTCATAACAGCAGAAAACATTCATAAACCTTGCCTCTACCTCACATTAAAAAAGCAATTATATGAAGTCAATAACATCTGCATTTCCAATCATATTGATTAGATGGTAGGCGTGTTTAACCATTCATTCATTCACTCTGACCACCCACTTGCCATTTAACTCTGGCAGGGTAATTTTTTCTGTGTATGCATCATATTTTTGGCATGTTCTTGGAAGGAGTCCTACGAATACAGAAAAGCCAACCATTTAATCAGTCCTAAGTCTTTCTCAGACTGAATCTTGTTTTTTTGCGGAAAATATACACGCCAGTTCCCCTAGATCTATTCTCAACAACTGATATCGTGTTTCCCCAAAAATAAGACCCTGTCTTATACTTTTTGAACCCTGAAATAAGCGCTTGGCCTTATTGCCATATGCTCAAAAGCCCGATTGGGCTTATTATTAAAGGCTTATAATTAAATTATTTAATTATTAAAATTAAAACTATTTAATTTGATTTTAATTCTGCTTTTAAATTTTGTATGTATGGATTTTATTGTTGGCTGTTCACCGCCCTGAGTCCTTCGGGAGTAGGGCGGTATAGAAATCAAATCAAATAAATAAATAAATAAATAAATAATCAGGGGATTATTTTGGGGAAAACAGGGTAATTACTGTGCGACAATATTTGCAGCTAAGTGCTATTGTTATCCTGTCATGTGATTTTCCCAATGAAACAAGATGTTTTTCTTCTGGGACTTTATCCAGAGGGGTGAAAGTAATTCAACATGACACCATTTGTGAAGACCCCATGCTCCCAAGCTCCCAACCTAAAGAACTGTCAGCTAAGCCTAGAATAAATGCCCCCATTTAATTCTAATTGTAAGAAAAGCAAGAAAGGAGAATGGAATATACAGTGTGTGTTCCAATATAAAATAAACTTAAAGAAAAAAGAATAGACAGGAATAAAAGGAAGAAGAAAGAAAAAAGAGAAGAAAGGAATATGAAAAAGAGAATATATACAGTTTGTGTGTGAGTGCATACATACATGCACACACACACGTGTGTGTCCGTGGTGAGAGAGACAGAGATTTCCAATCTTCATCACAAGTATGCACAAATTTAATGACTTTACATCTTTAAAAATATAAACATTTATCTCTTAATCTCAGATCTCATCACTTATCTATAAACAAATCCACAAAAACATCATCTGGTGTCAGCAGAAAGTCCAAAAAGGTTAACCAGAATATATCTTTATTAACCTTGATCAAATAAACCAATTGTATATTCCTTTCCTTTCCTTCTAACGATCTCTAATATTTAGTTCATTCAAATATTCTTCAAGGCTTTAACAAGACTCTTTTGTAAATCCTGTAGGGAAAAAAAAATATCCAGGTCACAGGTTTGTCATTTGTATTTCTCTTTTTCTATTTTAAAACCTCAATTTGATTGGCAAATCCAGTGAAATCTCCTTTTCTAAACCATTCTCTTGACTTTTTAATGTCATCTCTATCTCTATAAAAGTTACTCTACATATGGATTTTCTTCAATAGCATCTTTTGGACCTAGTCTATCCATAGAACTGGACCCCATTACTGTTGATGTTATGGCTACTAATTCTGATTCTATTCTTCAAAAGTCTTCTTCAGTATTTTTATTGTTAGAATGTTTTGAGTCATTTTAAAGGACCATTTATCTTTCTTCTACCTACAATTTTAGTTTCCTTTAGTGTCCAGTTTTTGAAATAATGAATTCTTTATCTTTATTGTATGTTAAAAACATCAAAACAGGATCTATTTTTCATGAGAAAGTGTTTGTGTTTTATAATTGTTTTTTAAATTTATTAATGTTAAAATTTTACTGTAAACTTTCAATAGTCCAATTTTATGAGGACTGTTTACAACTTTCTAGGATCAAAATCTTATTTTTTTGCTTTTTATTTCAGATTCTTTAAATTCTTAAAATATGATTAAAAATTACTTTTTGTCAGGATTAAAGATAGATGCACCCAGCATTTTCTGACTTATCATTTCAAAGATCTCAAACTGCTTAAAAACAATTAGAGGGAAATTTCCAAAAGTAATTTAAAAGGGAGTTTGGCACACTTTGTTTTCTGTTCAACCATGTCCAATTTTGTGATATGGCCTGGACAATTTCCTGCAGTTTTCTTGGCTCCTTGTCTGAAAGAAATGACTGGCCCAGGGTGGTCAGATGGCTTTGGGGCCAATGTGAAACTAGAACTCATAGTTTCCTAATTTCTAGCGTGATACCTCAGCCACTACACCAAACTCATGGTTGCCTCATGGTTGTGAGCTAAATAGTTATTTTATTTATGTATTTAGTTAGTTTGTCAAACATGTATGAGATAACAGATATAAGTAGAAACATAGGACATGAACACAGGAACACAGGAAATGGGTACAAATAAATGGGGACAGTAGGACAGGCATGGTAGGAATGTTGGTGTGCTTATGCATGCCCCTTACAGACCTTTTAGGAATGGGGTGAAGTCCACAGCAGACAGTTTAAGATTAAAGTTATGGGGGTTTGAGGAAGTAACCACAGAGTCAGGTAGTGCATTCCAGGCATTGACCACTCTGTTGCTGAAGTTGAATTTTCTGCAATCGAGTTTGGAGCGGTTTACCTTGAGTCTGCATCTATTGTGTGCTCGTGTATTATTGAGGTTGAAGCTGAAGTAGTCATTGACAGGTAGGACATTGTAGCAGATAATTTTATGTACTACGTTTAGGTCAGACCATAGGCAGCTTAATTCTAGGTTGTCCAAGACCATAATTTCAAGCCTGGTGGCATAAGGTATTCTATTGTGAGCAGAGGAGTGGAGTACTCTTCTCATGAAATACCTCTGGACTTGCTCAATTGTATTAATCCAACATCTCTTGGTGCTCAAACATATGGAAAAGTACTGACCTGTGGTCTCCTCATAGAAAGCATCTGGAGCACATGTAGGCAGTCTGGAGTATATAGGAATCTTTGTATTTTGCAATGGTGATTGGCTCTGCTTTCGCCTAGCCGTCTTCAGTTCACTGTATCTCCCCCAGAAGTCTAAGAAAGAAGAATTTCTATGCATCATACTTCTCAAAGAGGAGAGTAATTTGCTTAGATATACTCAAAAGATAGATCATACATTGAAGCCAACTTCCACTGCTATAAAGAGAATTGGGAAGGGGAATTGACATGCTGTTTGTTTATCCAGAAGAAAAACTTCATCATTAGTTGTTTTGTTTTTTTAATGCTTGGAAACAAAACTAAGAACTGTATGAATAAAGAAAAAAAAATCATCAAAAATTTTTGTCTGTGCTGAAATGTTTATGGATTTAAGCTCCAAATGCTCTTAACAGACTACTTTACAGTTTCTGTAAATTGTAAAGCATTTGGAGCTTAAATTTTCTGATTTTGAAATTCCATGAAAACATTCCGATTCATAGCCATTGACAGAACTCTGTATACTAGGGGTTAGTAATCAGTCTGTAACACAGCATGCCCAACACTAAGGTGCTCTGCAGGGGTGGGTTCTACTTACTTTTACTACCGGTTCGCAACGGGATTGCGCCCACGCCTTCCTTCTGTGCATGCGCAGAAGCTTCTGCACATGTACAGATTGCTTCTGATGACATCAGGGTCAGTGGGTGGAGCCTCCCGCTAGTTTTACTACCGGTTCTATAAAACCGGTCCAAACCGGGGGCAACCCACCACTGGTACTCTGCCTGTAGGACTGTTTGTAGTTGGTTAGTCATTTACAGCAACTGCTAGTTCCAGTGAGTTTTGTATTATCTGTTAGTACTGTGGCCGCACTAAAATTAACTTGACAATTTTGAGAAACATTTCTTTCCAAGTGGATTAAACTTTTGTCTATCAATCTTATTCTTTCAAGGAAGGAAGGAAGGAAGGAAGGAAGGAAGGAAGGAAGGAAGGAAGGAAGGAAGGAAGGAAGGAAGGATTTCCAGTATTCCCTGCCATCTTATAAAAAATGAAACTCAGTGAGGAAGGTGGCAGGGATTCAGAAGTTGCTGTGTCTCTCACTGCTTTTTTCCCCAACAATAGTCCTTCTGTTTTCTTTGTTTAGGTAAGGAAACATTTCTGAAATAATTACCTGTCATAGGTCACAGGTTGTCTAGTATAACATAAAGATTTGCCTCAAGTTGTTTTCTTCAAAACCATAATACTGGGTTTGCTATTACTGTTGTCCGTGTTTGATTTACCAGTCAAAATGTTCTGGCAGTCTGGGACATACGTACATACACACATAGATAAGCCTTGATTGCTGGGATCTTCAATCAGAATAAAGCTGGAAGGGACCTTGGAGATCAAGCAGGAGACCCTATATCCGTGATGGCGAACCTATGACACGGGTGCCACAGGTGGAACACGGAGCCATATCTGTGGGCACACGAGCGTTGCCCTACCTCAGTCCAGCATGCATGTGTGCACTAGCCAGCTGATTTTCGGGCCTTCCGGGCCCACTGGAAGTTGGGAAACGGGCTGTTTCCGGGTCTCCGGAGGGCCTCCGGGGGAGTGGATAAGGTTTTTTTCGCCCTCCCCAGGCTTCTAAAAAGGGGAGGGCAAAGCCTGGGGAGGGCAAAAAATGGGCCTACCGGGCCCACCAGGCCATTGCATGCCAAAAGCGGGGGGAGAGTGGGGGAGTCACTCATGCATGCGTGGGGGACGGGACCCATTGAATTATGGGTGTGGGGACACACATGTGCAATCCCCCCCACTACCCCTGTTTTTGGCACACGATGGCAAAAAGGTTAGCCATCACTGCCCTATACCATTTCAGACAGGTGGCTTTCCAGTCTTTTCTTAAAAACCTCCAGTGATGAAGCACCCGCAACTTCTGAAGGCAACCTGTTCCACTGGTTAATTGTTCTCAATGTAAGGAAGCTTCTCCTAAATTCCATCTTGCTTCTCTCCTTGATTAATTTCCATCCATTGTTTCTTGTCTTACCTTCTGGTACTTTGGAAAAGTACCCTCTTCTTTGTGGCAGCCCTTCAAATACTGGAATACTGCTATCATGTTACCCCTAGTGCTTCTTTTATCTAGACTGGCCATACCCAATTTCTGCAATCCTTCTTCGTATGTTTTTGTCTTCAGGCCTTTAATAGTCTTAGTCCTGAATTTTGGGAGAGTTGATATCTATGACCGTCCCTAGTAAAGTCTGACAGGGAGATGGATTTCTTGATAATATCCTTTTCTTCATTTCCCATCAATCTCCCCTTTTCTTTTTACTGTCTGTAGTGACTCACAGTTCATCATGCATAATACAGTGTTAGTGTCAAACTAATTGATTTGTATTTGAGGTGACTGCAGCACACGACTGCATCCTCCATGCTGTTGTCACTGTAAAAGGTAACATGATGGGATTTTTCTCACTGAATTTAAGGTAGCTTTCACTTCTGACAATAGGAATCCCTGTTGTTTTTTACACAATTATTTCGAAGGGATTTCCTACTGCAAGCTCTCCCCTCCCCCACCATTTCCCAAACCTCTGATTTCGCTTTTCCATGAATGATGGAGGATTTTCTTTTAGCTTTATTGTAAAAATAAAAAAATCCACTTTATTAAGCTGTCAATTTTTTCTTGCTGGCATGCTACAGAGTAAAATACTAAATTTGATTTAAAGGTCAGAGGAGATGTGCGGCACCAACAATCTGCCTTTGAATTGGTCTTGTAATACTAAACAGACTTTACAAGGAAAGAAAATTGGAACTGGTCAGCATAAGTCATTCCAACTGCAGTGTTTTTCAACACACAGTTTTACTTTTAAGTTTGACTAAAAAATAAGATAAATGGATGCATTAATAGGGGTAGAGTCCAGCAGGGTTTATGAAATCTGATTTCTATTTCTGATATACTGTTAGGCAGGGGGACTCAAAGGTGTAAAAAAATATTCTGTTCATGCTGCTTTCATTATAGTTCCATAAAAGAAAATATTAACTCTACTATATTCTTTAATTCAGCTTTAATTCAACAATAAGCACTGATTCAAGTCCCTAAAGATCTTATTATTTATCTGTATGTATTTGTATTTTTTAATTTACCATCTAAATAAAAAAAAATCCCCAGAAGAAATGGCTTTGATAATTGTACAGCTCTGCTGAAAATTCTATATCACTTTAATTAAACATGACATGGACAGAGTTGTAAATTTCCAGAAGTCTGAAGTCTAATTTAATTTTTCACTTTTAATATATAAAAGTCTTGACATATTAAAAAAAATCCTAATATTCTCGTTTGACTCTTATTATGTGCTCTTATTATGCACATTTCATTAGTCATACAGATAAAAGAAAACAATTATAAAACCATCCATTGGACTTTGGTGCTAACAAATTCAATATTATTAGAAGCAGGAATCTATAATTTGGTGCTAAAAAGAATAGGGCCATTTCTTGCCATCTTATTCAAAAGCTGGAAGGAGATGCATTGATTTTCTTTATGAGTGAAATATGCATTAAAAATTATATATTGGTTCCAACTTTCTTTCTACAGTGTCACACTGAAGGAGTTCTGAATTTGGGGTCTTCCTGGATTTGTAATTCCTACCATAGCAAGAGGTGAAAACTATGGCTTGGAAACATAGAGAAGGGTTTGTCCAGTTCTGGTTGGTAAGTCACTAGTGGGACATTTTGGACCAAAAAGGTCTATGAACCAAGATTCATGTCTTTGTCACCTAACATATTGACTATTGCAATATTCCATAGGAGGTTGGCCTGAAAGCTCACTCAGAAGCTTCAAGTAATCCAAAATGCAGTGACCCATGTGCTAACTGGAAATAACACGTTCAAAGATGAACTACAACATCAATTAACAATGGTTGAGGCTGCCAGAAGAGCAAGAATCCAGACTTTGTATCTCCCTCAACACCTGTTCTTCTGACCCAGGCTCCCTTAACAAGCAGGAGGCAGGAATTACTGGCAAAATCTCTTTTATTTATACGACTGTGAATTACGTTCATTCATAGTCAGCAAGGTTTGTCCAAACAGTTTTTTAAAGAAATATTTCTCAACACACCTTATCTCGTTTGGCAAGCTGCCACATAACTTGTTTCCAACCACAGTATAAGGCAAAACTTGGAATAGAGTCTCTCAGAGTCACGGAATGAATGGTTTCCTGAAGAAGCCCACTCCCTGTTTGCTCCTCTTTTATTTCCAATGGGAGGGGCCAATCACCTCCAAGGTGTGGCTTTACTCCCGAGTCGACCCTGCTTTCTGAGTTATTCTTGTCTTCTGGCAGTTCTGCACATGCACACACTGGGAACGGGCTCCAGCTGTTCCTCTGCCTCGCTGCTGTCTAACTCCCTCTCTGCCTCCAATGCAGAGCCCTTGTCTGAGCTTTCTCCAGCCCCCAGAACTGGCCCACGTTCCTCCCCAACCTCCTCACTGTCCGACTCTGCTGCCAGCTTTGCTGGCTGCCAGCGGGCAACAGCAACACCTTTAACACAACTGGTAAAAGGGGAAGGGGAGAAGGAGAAGTAGAGGAAGGGGGAGGAGGAGGAGGAGGGGGGAGGAGGGAAAAAAACCCAGTAGTGATATTGGAGGGACTGTATGGAAGATTCAATCTTTGTTGATCAGTGGAACCTGAGGTTTAGTCTTCTGAGCTTCTTGGATTCAATGAGTTCGAAAGCTCAGAAGACTCTGGTCCTGGTGACTGACCCAGATTGGATCTTGCAACATTATCCCGGGGCACATATATTTGCCCTCATTCATGGACTCTCTTGGCTTCTAATTCACTTTTGGTTCCATTTCAAAGTGCTGTTACCAGGGGTGGGTTCTACTTACCTTAACTACTGGCTCACAACGGGAAGCCTCTGCGCATGCGCAGATCGCCGATGATGACATCCGGGGCAGTGGGCGGGGCCTCCCGCCAGTTTTACTATCGGTTTTTGTGAACTAGTCTGAACCGGGGGCAACCCACTACTGGCTCTTACCACCATTAAAGCCCACCATGGCTTGTTGCCCAGGTAACAATAGGAGAATTTTCCCCATCAGCAGGCTAAATGTCTTTACCTTTTGGAACACACTTTCACTTGTGAAAAAACATG